TATTTGAAGCCTTATTAATGGATAATCTTGGAAGATGTTTTGATGTGAAATCTAATAAAAATTATATTTACACATATGATTAATTATGTAATATTTTGTGTTATCACAAATACTGCTGTCAAAATGGTAGGTAAGCTGGTATTTTCCTTGGGTGAAAAGCACAGAGTGAAAACTCATATTGTGATATGTTATTCATGTTTATATACTGAATATTAGAATCACGGCTAATGGCTGAAAACAGAGAGCATTTGTGAACAGTAGTGTTTTATATTTATATCTAATTATTGTAAGTGTTATTAATTTGTACTCTCATATAACAGTCCCCCTTGCATTCAATAGATGTCTTGTATCATAGTTTTATTATAGAAGAAAAAATATAAATGTCTCATGAACAATGGTGTTGCAATCAAATCAAAGTTCAACACTTTATCCCTTGCACTGGCCGGGATTTAAAGATGTTTTTAATATATAAAAAGAATCCTTGGCCACCTGAATTGTTAACTTCATTTCAAGATGAATTTCCTCACATCAATATATAGAACTGATTTTGCAACACAACTGTTCTGAGACATTTTATTTTTTTATAATAAACTTGTACAGAGACATCTTTGAATGCAAGGGGACTGTTATATGAATACAAATTAATAACACTTACAATAATTAGATATAAATATAAAACACTACTGTTCACAAATGCTCTCTGTTTCAGCCATTAGCCGTGATTCTAATATTCAGTATATAAACATGAATAACATATCACAATATGAGTTTTCACTCTGTGCTTTTCACCCAAGGAAAATACCAGCTTACCTACCATTTTGACAGCAGTATTTTGTGATAACACAGAATATTACATAATTAATCATATGTGTAAATATAATTTTTATTAGATTTCACATCAAAACATCTTCCAAAGATTATCCATTAATAAGGCTTCAAATATTTCTTGTAGACCTCAATACTTCACACAAATACAGCAGTTTAGGTTATAGAAGGTATGGCATCAATATTGTTGCTATAGACTTTCTGACACAGTATAACCTTATTTTTCTGTGACAACAAATCACACAATATGAAGAATCAATCTATTTTCTAACTACTTCAGCCATGCTAGTAGCAATTTCTCCAGTTACATTATTGTTAAAACAAAGTCTTCCTATTGGCTTTTAGCCAAAAATTGATTTAGCTGGTAGCCCCACTACTGATGAACTGGCACATCTCTTTTCTGGTGGCACAATGCGATAATGTCACTATTCACTAACTTTCATACGGTCCTCAAGTTTGACAGGCCACAGATTTGTCTTCTTGGTGGTTATCATGAAGTACTTCTTTTTAAGTACTGTCATTTGTCTGGCAACTGTACCCTTAGCTCTGATGTCTGCAAGAGATTAAATTTCATTTTTATTAGTTGTATTCCTATAATGGAAGAAATATGAGATACAAATTATGACTGCTTTAAAACCAAAAGAGAGCTGTTAACGATAAGCAATCCCATGATTACAAACTTTTATAACAATTCTGTTTTCTGGCATTAGAACTATTCTTGCCCATTTAAAGCTCTTCAAAGTCTATATTCTTCCCCATAAATATCTGTATAATAAATCAAAATTATTGGTCATCTAGTATTTCAATTTAAATTTGCTTTCAATTAGATAAGAGTTTTGTTGGAGTACCATACAAGGCAATATGCCACAAACTGACATTTTTCAAGTTAAATAAGTCTTAACAGTATTAGAAAGTATCAAAGATGTACAGGGCTATAATAATAATAATAATAATAAAAAAACATACACAACGAAAGGTAAACCTTCATAAAACACCTGTATGTCAATAACCAGTCCTCAAACAAAGAGCCAGTCCAAACTCAAGTTTGCCAAAATATACAAGCTGGTGTTTGTTGCCCTTTCCTGGAGCGTGAAACACAGAGGCCATGGTAATCACTTGAAGACTACAAAGTGTAGGCCATCCATCACAGATCACAAATGATTTTAAGTGGGTTTGGATATAACATAATTGGTAAATTTGTGAGAAAAGAGTTCTAACCTTCAAGTTATTATGGGTGTCTTCTTGAATTCTTACCAAAGATATTAAACAAAAATAGGAAAACAATACAACTGCTCCTTGCACATTACCATTGGACATTATCAACTTATATCTTATCAATATATATATATATATATATATATATATATAATATATATATATATATATATATATATATATATATTACATTTATAGTTTTTTTAGTTTTATTCTGAAATCAATATTTGAAATTATGTGCATGAAGTACTTAGAGGGAATGTAGTCATAAACTCAGGCATATTGATATTCCGTTTTGATCCTAAAGGAATTTATTTATACCTTGTAAGAAACCTGGGTGGCATATAAAAAGTAAAAATCTCACTGAAAATAATGAGGACCACATGAATCTGGGGTCCATACTACACTTGAATACCTATATCGAAATGCTCTAACTAAGAGTAAGTCACAAAGTACACAAACCCAGACAGAATTAACTGAGTTCAAAAAAAGAGAAAAAGAATCTATTGATTAACTAACATGTAATAATAATCATTCACTATCCAGAAGACCATAGGACAAATACAGCTTCAAAATCTATTTGTTATTCAAAATCTTGGCAGGGCTCATCTGACAGAAAAACAAAACAAAACAATAAAACAAACTAAAAACCATACCATCACTATATGTACCGGAAATTTTAGGATAGGAAAGGTTTTCATGAAACCTCTGCTTTGGTTGAAAGTGTGTTTTGAGATATATATATAATATATATATATATATATATATATATATATATATATATATATATATATATATATATATATATATAATATATAATATATATATATAATATATATATATATATATATATATATATATATATATATATATATATATATATATATATATATATATTTATATATATATATATATATATATATATATATTATATATATATATAATATATATATAATATATATATATATATATATATAATATATATATATATATATATATATATATATATATATATATATATATATATATATATATATATTATATATAT